TAAGTTCATGTGTTGTCTTTTATTTGTCAGCAATAGCTCTACAACCCCATAATACCCATTTTCACAAGCCAGCATAAATGCATTCCAACCATTGTTGCTTTTAGTATTAATGTCAACTACTACAGCTGTTTCTGTTAGTAGTAACTCAACTATTCGTGCATGACCATTAGCGGAAGCACACATCAAGGCATTCCAACCATTAAGGTTTGAAACATTAGGATTGACGTTTCTGGCTAACAATAATTTAACAATTGGGGTATGACCACTGTTGCAAGCAAGTATAAATGCATTTGTACCTTCTTTGTTTGTAATATTAGGATCAATTTCATGGGTCAGCAATAGTTCAGCAATTTCAATATGACCTTTCTGACAAGCTAACATGAATGCAGTCACTCCATCTTCCCTTTGATGTGTGTAATTGACTCCTTTGGTAATAAAAAGTTCTACAGCTTCCAAGCATCCAGAAAATGCAGCAACCATTAAAGCATTCGAACCTTTTCGATTTTGTAGATGGGGATTAGCATCTGCTTCATCAAGCATCACATGAATGACTGTGCTATGATTATTTTGGCTTGCTTTCATCAAAGCAGTCCATCCGTCATTATTTTGAAGGTCAACATTAGCCCCAGCAGATACTAAACTATGCACTATATTAATGTTCCCAAGCTCACAAGCCTCCATTATAGCAGTATTGCCATCTTCATTACGATAATCAATATTAGTTATTTCTAAATCAAGAAGAAACTGAACAGCTTCAACTTGCTCAGCTTTGACTGCTTTGATCAGAGCATGCTCAAAAGTAAAATTTGTGTTTTCATTTTCTTTAATGACTTTTTTATCATTGATGAAGAAACCAAAGACTCCAATGAGGCGCATAAATTCTATTTTTCCTTCATCAACAAACTCTAATAGGCTATCAGCTGTAGAATCGAGAACTGTATATTTTATGATAACAGATCCCGTTAAAATTGTGATGTACTTCATTATAGATTGTTGGAATTCATCTGGTAGTAGCTGACGTATAAGTAAGGAAAGACCCTTGATGTTACTACGAAGCCACTCATCATGTAACTGGAGGTGAATTTGAGGCATGTTTGTAAGATCTGGTATGTGGTTCTTGAATATATTTCTTAGAGCTACAGTAAGGTGGCCCACTTTTGCTGAAGAACGTAGCTCATCAGCTTCTTTTTTGTACTCTTTAAATTTAGTTACAAGCTCTTTGTCTTTAATAGGAAACATTTCACTCAGGTCAACAATTAATCTACAGTCAATGAAATCAAAGTACGGTTGGATTATTTCAAAAGCATCATCTAGTGTCTTGACATGAGATAGCTCATGACTTCTTGTGCGACTTTTCATCCACCGTATTATACTATTAAAAATACTGGGATTCTTTGCTAGCTCATCCAAATTAAATTGTAAATTAATAAACAAAGCTGAAAAATTTTTTTCCAGTCTTTCTAATGTCCGTTTAACTTCAATTTCTTGTTTCTTTGATTCAAAGGCAATGCTTTCTTTTTGTGGCCTTACTGATAGTGCACTAGCTGTAGGTCTAACAGATCTAGCACCGGCAGTAACTTGACGACAGTTAGTTTTGATATCCTGAGCCAACTGATTCTCATTTATTTTTTCTAATGCTGTTACAACTTCTCTCCAAGATGCTCTGGGATGTACTGCTAACCACTTATTATAGAGAGCTCGCTTTTTGTCTCTTACTTTAGACCCATCGGCATCAATCATTTGAATTTCAGGCGATCTCATATCAGGTAACTGGAGGCCAAACGCCTGCCATTCAACAAGAGGGGCAAGCCATTGAGTCAGTAGAGGAATAGTAGGCTTATCATTAATAGGGCCAGGATTGATTTCAATGTCTCCTGATAATAGGAGAAGAAGAGAGACCAACTTGAACACGACTGAAACCATAAAAACGAAGAACCAAAGGGAAGTTTTGCTGGGGTTCAATAAAGTGCTCCTTGTACTGGTACAGCACCAATGGCCTATACCGGCTCTCCATCGAGCAATATCCATCATCCTGGTCTGTATATAGAGCAAAGAGAAGTGTGCGTTCGTATCTCTACAGCAAAAAAATAGCTGAGCTTTCAAAACATGCCCCACCCAAATTTACCATATAAAGAGCAGGAATTTAGGAAAAATTCTAGCTATCTAACTGCCGTATAAGTAGGGAAAAACCCTTGATGTTACTGTAAAGCCACTCATCATGTAACTGGAGGTGAATTTGAGGCATGTTTATAAGATCTGGTATGTGATCCTTGAATATATTTCTTAGAGCTACAGTAATGTGGCCTACTTTTGCTGAAGAACGTAGCTCATCAGCTTTTTGTACTCTTTAAATTTAGTTACAAGCTCTTTGTCTTTAATAGGAAACTCTTCACTCAGGTCAACAATTAGCCTACAGTCAATGAAATCAAAGTACGGTTGGATTATTTCAAAAGCATCATCTAGTGTCTTGACATGAGATAGCTCATCACTTTTTCTTGTGCGACTTTTCATCCACCATATTATACTATTAAAGTGATCAGAATTCTTCGCTAGTTCATCCAAATTAGATTGTAATTTAATGAACAAACTTGAAATTTTTTTCTAGTCCTTCTATATGGGAGGTGATCCCTGCCAAAACTCACTAAAATAATGATACTATACTTCTACTGATACCACACCATGGCATGATGATGACGTGTTAGAGTTTCTATAATAATAGTAGTAATTAGCACCATGGGTTGATAATATGAGGAGGCAAT